GGAATGGGTTTTAAGGCTCTATCTCTCATAGTTTCCGAGATAATCGCGAGAAGCCTGATTATCTTGGTTTCTATTGAAAACCAAAGTTGAAGACAAGAGTTTGTAGCAGAGATTTCAGACAAGAAATGAATGTTTTTTGGGCTCAAATGAAAGAACGGGTCGAGAAATGGCGTGCTAGGCCTCCAAAATGACAAATGTCTCTAAAGATGATGTCTGTTTTCAATTGAAAAACAGAGTTGTGACAACATTGTCTGGGAGGACAATGGGGTCTAGGAGTATATATAGAACATTGGGGTCTAGGAGTCTCCCCTGGTTCAAAACCATCTTTAGAGGCCCTAGCACGTCATTTCTCGACCCGCTCTTTCATTTGAGCCCAAAAAAACATTCATATCTTGTCTAACAACGTTGCTACAAACTCTGGACTACAACTCCGGTTTCAATTGAAATATCTGAAATATCTGGCAACCCACGATGCGCGCTGCATCGCCCTGCGCATTGCAATGGGCGCCCCCTGCGGGGTATAAATCATTTGCCGCATCTTCACAACTTCCGAAAAGTAAATAAATTGCCAAACAAACCCCGTGAACTGGGATAAATATAAATTCACCGAGGTAATTGTGCATTGAGAATTCGTTCTAAGATTCGGAGTTATTTACAACAATTAACAATTTATTGTAGATGGGGAAGAAGAGGAGTTTGCAGTCGTCTGCGCAGAGTAAAGTGAAGATTGAGGTTAAGGACGAAATTCGTAAGTAAACTTGATGGAAATACCCTCTGATTGATCGATTATCGCTGTAACTGTGCATTGTTAATCCCAGCGGATAATGAGGTTCATGTGGCTCGAGATCGGCTCAAAGGGGCTCTTAAGGAGCTTTTGCATCACAGCGATACGGCTTCGTCCGCAGAGTCCAGCGACGAAAGCCCGCCACCAGAGTACAAACAGTTGGCTAAAAGAGTGTAAATTAATTCCCATTCGTCATGACCATTTGTTACATGGTTCTACAAAATTTAGATGTTTTTTGCCCTAAAGGGAAATTTTCAGGCAAAAACACAAGAGTCGTCATTCAGCATTATTTATAACGCTGGACTATGAGTAATAAATCGAAGAAAAAAAATCAATTTCTATAGTTGAAGTAATTGAATCGTTACCTGAGTGGGAAATCTGAATAGCAGGCTCGATCTTCCGTCAATGGATTGCCAAATTTATTCGATTTCATTGGTTTATCTAACAAGCCATTTCGCTAGAGCTCTGGCTGAGTCCAGACAAAATTTTTCTGTACACTTTTTTGGGTAGAATGCAGTACACAAAATATTTCAATGCTGACACATAACGTTAGTCCCATCATACAATTCGAAATTACGTCAAGTTGCATTTTTAATGAATTAATCTCACATTTTCTTTCGGTTCACGTAGACACTCGTATTAAATGGATAGTCTCATCGAGAAAATCGAAATTTCGTGAATTAGCTGAATTTTAAATGGGATCGATCCATGCAGCGGTTATTTTTGGTTAAAAAGTGTTTTGGCCCTTTTTAAGACTAACATTGTTTTTATTTTTAACAAAAAATATATTTAGTGGCGGTAATTTCATACTTGGGGCAAAAACCATCCAAATTTTGTAGATCTGCTCAAAGTTGATGGGAATGCATTATTGGATTATCTTTGAATTTATTTAATTTCAGTCAGAAGCCGACCTATCCATCACCAAAGCCAAAGATTCGTCGTCGTCGACAAATGCCCACTGACCAACTGTTCCATCACACCTATGTCATGAAGCTATTCGATAGGAGTGTTGATTTAGCACAATTCCGGGAAGATACTCCATTGTATCCAATTTGTCGCGCATGGATGGCCAATCAACCCCGAAATCCCAATCTCGTGCCAAAGTAAGAAGCAAAAAATTGAAGGGGGTTGTATCTTGGTCCTAGCAACTCCTTGCATTCCCTCGAAATTTCTGGAAACTCTTTGGACTCTCTCGAATTTTCTAGAAACTCCCTGAATTTCCTCGAAATTTCAAATGTAAAGATCAACTCAATTAATCAGACATCGAGGAAAAAGGCGATTTATTATTTTAATTCTATCATCAAACAGAGACAGAAAATAAATCACTGTCACCTCCGTGACAACAACCCTCGGTAACCATTCGAACTTCATCCTTCTCATTCTCATTCAGAGGGAGGGGACGTGGATAAGTCAATTAACTCTATCGCAACACTATTTATCAATCGATTTCAGTCTAGGCTCATCGCAAGGGGGAAGAGTTGCACTTCTTACTGAAAAAAAAATGATTCCATTTCATCAACAATTCAACAAGTCATTAGCATTTGAAAAAAAGTAGAAAGTCCACTTTACCCCATTGTCCCCTAGTAATATATTATTAAATACAAGCCATTTAATTAAGAATGAGTGTTCATTAAAAGATTTTAGGACGAAATAAATCATGAAAAAAAATATTAAAAGGAGTGGCACATGAAGGTGGTCGAGAGGGAGAAAAAGAACAAATATGAAACAAAACAAAAGGAATTATTCAACAGAAAACAGTGATTTTTCTTCTTTTTCCAATTAAAATATTGAGGTCATTAATTCATTCTTCTGTTATCAGAGTTCGGAGTCCTAGTCCGGAGATTGTGAATGAAGTGCACTCAGATAATCTCCTCCACGACGAAAACGGGGAGCTCCGTGATGTGTACAATTTACCAGCCCCTCTGCAGCGCCAGGAAGTCTTCCCCAGGAATCGAGTTCCATCGCCTATTCCTTTCCCAAAAGAGAAACTCAGTCTGGATTACGTAAGCCACCAATTTTTAATACAAAAAATGAGTAATTTCCAATTATGAATTTTCTCTTTTATCCTAGGATGGACAAGTCCTGAAATCTCGTGAAACCCTCATGAAGGAGCACAGAATGCACTGGGGTCAGGTCAAAAGGAAATGGCACCAGCAGACTCACAAGAATGAACAGCGATTTGCAAAGAGCGCCTTCATCCTCAGTACGATATTCAAAAGGTAATATTTGTCTCATTGTCATGATTATTATTATTATTTTTAAGGTAAAAAAAACCATAATTTTTCCTTTTTTCGATTTTCCAGGGCCCAATCTGAATTCGAATAATTCATTGACGAAAAGACGTTGACTATTATAATTATAAAATCACAATTCAATGATTGACGAGTCCTCGGATGAAATATGATTGTTGTCGCGAGAGAAACCAGGACCACAGATGACTTTTCATGACAATTTCCCCGATGTTTTTTTTTTCCACTAATAATTCACTAACAATTCATCTCAATAGAAAACTACGAAATGAATAACACCTTCATTTCCCCCAATTCAGATGTTTTTTTCTTCAAATTAATTTATTTCAAATATAAAACAGTTCACGAAAAGCACTGCAACTGAGTTTATATCCTGCGCCTTCCTCCGAAGCAAGATTTCACGTTATTTAGCATTCATAATACTCATTTCAACACTTTTGACTGTTGATTTCATTTTTCTGTGAGTGAGAGCTCCAGGACCTGACGGAATGTTTCTTCTTCGAGTAGTCTACGTTGTTCCTCCTCAATTTGTTGCTGCTCTGATAGTCGCAGTGCAATTCTGAGCTGTTCCGCTGTATCCTCAATCGAACTTTCATCCTGATTATTAGTTGTTCTGTGGGTCTTCTCTTCATCGTCCAGATACTCCACTCTCTCTTGGTAAAGCTCCAAGCTCTCTTGAATGGCCCTATTTGTGAATAAAATGCATTTAGATTATCTAAATGATAACTTCTCATTGCCACCGTAACATTTACATTGAATAGGGAACTTGCATAGAGTCCACTTTTTGAATGTTTTTAAATGAATAGTCTTTGCAGTCTATGAAGCATTCCAGAGTAAAAAGTTTTCCGAAAGGTGGTCTGGATATTTTGTAATAACTGATTCAAAATTCATCATTTTTTAACACTTTTTGGGGGTCATGACGTCAAATCACCGGAATCAAGTTCCCCTAGGGAGTTATGTTTGAAAGAATTATTAAAAGTGGATTAAAAAAATATATTGGCACTGACAAATGAAGTTTGTGCTGAAAAATGATTTTCAAAATGCGAAAATTTCGGCCTCCGGTGAATTGACGTCACAGGATTTTTTAGAACGTTTAAAAAATGTAATTTTTAAAAGCAAATAAATAATTATTAAACTATTTTCCGTGTGTTTCCTTGTGAAATACGAGTTCTTGGGGCATATATTTGAGGAAAATTTTTTTTTTTAAAAGATGCAAGTTCCCTATTCTACTAAAACGAGAAATTTATTTAACGAGACATTTGTGAATGAATCAACCCACCTGACTGAGCGCAAACGAGTGAAACATACAAAACATGCGAGAAAAAAAATTACGAGAGGAAACAATAAACTTGGGCATGCTTTGTAGGAAGAAGTTAAAAATGAGTAATCACTTTACCTCTGCAGTAGTCTCTCCTCGTCTGTCGTCATGTTAGGCGTCGTCGGCCTGGACGGCTTTTGAGCCCTCAGGGCCTCCCAAATGTCCACCTATCAATGCCATTCAATGAGGTTAACAAAAAGGAAAAAAACCAATCGACAATTTCACTGATAACGACAATGACTGAGAATACAACCTCGTCTTTTTCACTACCGGCTTCGAGCAAACTCTGTTGAATGGCAAATTGCAACAAATCGTCCTCCTCTTCAATGCTGAATTGCGTTCGATCGAGAGCTCCGAGTTTGGCATAACCGGCGGGTGCTTCAAAACAAATATCATCAACTACACAGATTGTTCTTGATCCATCTTGGATTTTTCTAACGTGTTCCACTTCCTGGTCCATACCAAAAATGTTTCCAAAAGTTATTCTTGCATTTAGAACATGGAAGAGAGGAATTTCTACATGAAGAAAAAAAGTGTTCATAAGATTCTCAAAATAATGAAACGCAAATGGAACGCAATGTTAAAGTGACAACTCATCACCTATTTTGACTGGAAATCCAGACGGCAGTTGCATTTGAATGAAGTCCTTGAGTTTGGCAAAATGAGTGCTTGAGATGGCCATGAGATCGACGATCGGCATTATCTGCTCTTGAAGACTCAGGGGATAATCCTCGGAGAGCCAGAGAGTTGCTCGAAATTTTTGGATTTTCGTGTTAACCTCCTTTGGCCTGCCTATGTCCCTTCCATTCAATTCGAATTCAGGATCGAAGTACTCTTCGGGTGTTATATTACAGGGATTACCGATGTGAGAAAATTCCTCGCTGCAAGTGGCACCGCAATTTTCCTCCTGCTGTTGCTCGGCAATACCGAGAAACGATTGCAGTGGGGTACGGGCACTCCTCGCACTATTTTTATCAGCATCTGACAAATGTTCTAAGCGAGTTTTCGTTATCAATTCGACATTACTCGCACTAAATACTTTACACTCGTGGCCATTTATAACTTCACTCTTGTCTGAACGCCATCCCCAGAGTCCGGCTTTATTCCTAAATTATTGACTCAATTAAGTCAGCATTGTTCACTGCTATCGGGAAAATTCAAGAGTAATAATCACCTTTCAAAACTAATTTTGTCTGTGTCGACGTAGGTCGTAACTATTGGATTCGTCAGTCGCGCGAGAATTCCCTCCTCAGATGGTGCCATTAATTGTACATTTTCGTCGTCAATCAACTTCATGTGCTCCACGTATACTCTACGTGTCTCGTGATCGACCTCCATCATCGTTGCACCGTCATCTGTAATAAGCACTTGATGATTTTTTCTGTTTTTTTCCTACGCCAAGTGCACCCAGTAATTTATCCACAGACTAATAACTCTGCACTGAGGGAAAAACAAACACGTTGTCGAACAAGTCTTGTTTGGGCCAACAAAATCGCTAGTTGAAAATTCCCAAAAAAGAATTTGTTTGGTTCGAATTTGAAAGCCTCAAACATGAATAATTCCTCTGCTTTCGACAGCAACGAAATGTTTGGCTCAAGAGGCAGATAATTCACACATTATTATTCTATAATTCATATCATTATTATTGTTTCATTTAAGGGTTCATTTGTTGTCTGTGATTATTAGACAGCCGAAACGAAAAACTACAATCCCTTTTTTCGCATAAAACGAAGATTTTTCGGGAGCAAAATACGTGCGGGAGTATCGAATAACGGAGTAGTGCTAGAAATGACATTTCTTGCGTGTACAGAGAATGCAATTTTTTTTCAACTACTAAATCTACTTTTGCGACAAAATTTTTCACTCCGGCGCACTCTCTGCATGTTTGGCACAAAAAAATCCTTTTCTGATAATTTATCAACGAATATTTTATCCCCAAGTTACAAGATTGCCACCATATAATTATTATTGTTCCATTTAAGGGTTCATTTGTTGTCTGTGATTATTAGACAGCCGAAACGAAAAACTACTATCCCTTGTTTCGCATAAAACAATGATTTTTCGGGAGCAAAATACGTATGGGAGTATCGAATAACGAACGAGTAGTGCTAGAAATGACATTTCTTGCGTGTACAGAGAATGCAATTTTTTTTCAACTACTAAATCTACTTTTGCGACAAAATTTTTCACTCCGGCGCACTCTCTGCATGTTTGGCACAAAAAAATCCTTTTCTGATAATTTATCAACGAATATTTTATCCCCAAGTTACAAGATTGCCACCATATAATTATTATTGTTCCATTTAAGGGTTCATTTGTTGTCTGTGATTATTAGACAGCCGAAACGAAAAACTACTATCCCTTGTTTCGCATAAAACAATGATTTTTCGGGAGCAAAATACGTATGGGAGTATCGAATAACGAACGAGTAGTGCTAGAAATGACATTTCTTGCGTGTACAGAGAATGCAATTTTTTTTCAACTACTAAATCTACTTTTGCGACAAAATTTTTTCACTCCGGCGCACTCTCTGCATCTTTGGCACAAAAAATCCTTTTTTGATAATTTTCAAAAAACTATTTTCTTGGCACAAGTGAGACTTGTTTGAGAATTTTGTCGTTTTTCTCTCAGTGTAGTAACTGCATGCATCATTTTGCTACAGGTCATCACATCACCTGGTGTTTCTCCCACCATGCTGAACACATAACTTCTCTGACACCTTATAGCCACAGGTGTGCTTGGCACGTCTTCCCGTATTTATAAAAAAATCAATTTTGCAAGACAGGAAAGAAAACAAACAGAAGAGAGAGAGTGAATAGAACGGATTGTACATGCATGTAATGAGAATTGGACAATAATTGGATTTATTCACGCACTTTGGCCCTTGAAAACGTAACTCAAATTTCCTCGCTGCCAATTCGTGTGGTCAAAGCCTAGGAGAGTTGTGTCTATTCGTACGTTGCTGCCCTGTTTGTACACTTTGTACGTATCACTGGGGCACATTCTGGAAGCCAATGGAACTGCAAAAAATTTTCACCAATTGTAGAATTGTTTTTTTTTTTTGTATTAAGAGCATAATTATTACCCCAGCTGGTGAATTCCCATTTCATTTCGACGTAAAAATCAGGCGCCTGCTTGAGCTTCTGGAGAAGCTCAGGAATTCCGTCAACACGATTGCAGTACCTCTGGTAATCTCGTCTGGCTAATACAATTTGCAGAATTTCTGGATTTCCCGTGCCAGTTGCTTCCTGAACGACTTTAAGGGGAGACTACTATGAGTTTTAAAAGTCGCGGGCTATTGGAATGAGATGCAAATGGAAATCCTTAAAATGCTTGAAATGTCAAAAATAATCCAGGACCTTCAATTTTTGAACTACAGTTTTTTTTTAAGCTTTAGAAAAATATGGGCAATAATAATTACGAATTAGTTTTTTCAAATTCAGCTCCTACACAGCTAATTTCATTATTATTTTAAGGGAAAATTGCGCCATTCATGTGAAATAGTTTGAAAAATATTCCTGGAAGAATCGAGAATATATTTTTAATATTTTTCTGTTTATTTTACATGAATGACGTCAATTTTTACATTAAACAAAACAAAGTTAGTTGTGTAGGAGTCGAATTTCACAGAACTAATTCGTAATTATTATTAACCACATTTTTTCAAAATGCCCTGGGCTATTTTTAAAATTTTAAGCGTCTGAAGAGCAAACGAACAACAAACAATTAATTTTTTTGTACTAATTACTCGTGTTTAGACATATAATCGATCTTCAATGCACGAGAAATCTCACTCCACTATCCCACGACTTTTAAAATTCATAACAGCCTCCCCTTGACGAATTGACTATTTCAAAATTCTCATATAATTCAAATGAAATGATGAAATAATTCGGAATTTGAATATTTAAATTGACGATCACTCCATTAATTACCAGTAACTCTACTTTATGGATGTGGTCATCAAAAGATAATACAATTGCCATGAGCACGGACGTAGGAATCAAATAAGCCCAGAAACCTCAATAAAATCAATAAATCAATGAAAAATTGACGAATAAAATTCCCCCGAGATTGACAAACCCGGAATTAACGATAATATCGTTGTCTTTACCACTCCATCCGTCCTTATTCTCCGTGTAAACGTTGACTTCGTTATTCAGAAGCACTTGAATGGATTCCTTGTAGCCAAGAGTCACAGCCAACATCAGAGGGGTCCTCCCTCGGTTATCATGTTGCTCCTTGTTATGCTGTGAATTAAACGTGCACATAATTTGTATTTATCCCATACAAATTAACATTAGAAATTAGTGTCAACGAAACGTCAGGCACTAAGAGGTTCAGTGACAGTCCTGAGGCTTCCTAGAAACTCCTGGGGCTTCCACTTGCACTCGTCGAAGGGCCATGCTCCTTATTTTATTAAATTATCATAATTAATGCCCTTTTTTATTACAATTATTCAGAGAATGAATCGATGCTCGCGATTTAATGATTTAAAAAATATTAGGAATGGAAATGGCGCTGAATGGGAATATCTCTGGCTTTTGGAGGGAAGAGAAGAGAATAAATTTGGAATACGAGGCAAAATTACCTGATTTGTTGATAGCAGCCTGTCGAGCTCGACGTGATCATTGTTCCAGACGAGCCAGTGAAGAGGATAAGTCTCTTTAATTTTATCAATATTCACCATTGTCACCAGTCCTCACAATTTATTTGTCACTGTATCGTGTTCGTTCAATTGATGAATATTTATTTTTTCTAGTTTTTTTTATTTAAATCACTTCATATGTTATCGATAAATGTTGCAGATGAATTGATTGTTGCGCAGTGTTTTTGAATTGAGAAAATCTTTACCACATGAATACATGACACGAGTGCCTGGCAGTGGTCATTGGTGGGGCTGTGACTATAAGCAACGTCGAATTACTACTGCGGTTAGTGGTTTATCATATTACTGACTAATTTATTTTTCTCTCTCTTCTGTAATATGATGATAAGTCACGAGGCGTTGGAAGGACGGGGGAAATTGGATTTTGGATGGGGTCACGGGACGGCACAGCAGCTCGACAGGTGAAGGCTCGTTTTCATGGCGAATCCGTTGGGACTGAATATTTAAAAAATACAAAATTCGGCAGCCGGAAATTACTGAGTGAGAGGAGAAGGGGATGGAAGTAAACGGGATTATGATCATTTTCATGGCGTAATTGAGAGGAAATAATTTTACTGGAGGATGGAAGGGGGGAAATACCAGTCATGGAGATTCGACCAATGATTTTTCCGAGTCTCGATTAGGGATTGGCGATGTTTTAAAAAACATCGATTACTGGAGCATCGATGTTTTTGAAAACATCAATTTTGTGAATCGATTTTTCTGGAGAAAATATCGATCATTAAAAAAATCGATGTTTTTTTATTACACGGGAAAAACAATTTTTTTATAAAAATCGATTGAATTCATATTAAAATCGCTTGAATGACCGTAAATGGCTGAGGAGTTGGAGTTTCTAGGAAAAATTTTTAAATTTTTTTTTTTTTTTTGACAATAAGTATTTATAAAATACAACCCGAGAAAAAATATATTGAATATTTTGCGGGGCTGGACTTCACCTGCAGCAATTGTTAAAAATTGAAATTTAAAAAAATTTAAAAATTTAAATTAAAAAAAATAATAGACGATTGAACTTGTCCACTCACCATTTAGAACGTGCATACTCTAGAAAATAATTACTTCTGATTGCGGATAAAATATTATTTTTTCCTTATCAATCAATCAACATTACTTTATCCTATTTTTACTAAAGATGAAAGAAACGTGAAGTTGTTTTATATCGAAATATCTCGAAACTGCCTGGCCGCAAATCCTCAATTCTGATTGGTCAATGAGTCACGTGAAGTAGTCGCTGAAGCAAAATCCCCGGTATTTTCAAATTCTTCGAGTGCCAAAATTTTTTTTTGCGTCATATTTATCATTTTTTCATGTCTGAAGTTTAACTTCATACCAAAACATCTAAATTGCCTAACTGTTGATCATGAGAAAAAAAAATAGTATGTCTAAATTTTTTAACTCACAAATGACTCTTCACTTCCCAAATGTTAATCCTCCTCAAGTAATTATCACATTCATAAAACATCTATGAGTACATGAAGTCCAATAAATTCGATTTCTTCATTTTCCCACCAAATCGATAAGTCTCCGTCGATAAAAAAAATCGCAAGTCGATTAATCGGCCGGCGCAAACCTCGACCGAAAGCCCATCGATGTTTCCCTGAAAATCGCAGTTCTCGATTAATCGCCGACCACCGCACACCTCCACTCACGTCCCACGTCCTTCCCCAACCCACTGATTAACTGATTGCGCTTGACGTCACTGATTAGGCCGCCAAGATGGCTGTCAATGTTGATAAGTGGTTCGGTTGCTCGTGTTGAGGAAAAAAACCCCTTTGCGCCGACTAGTCAATAAAAGCACTGCCCGCCAGCCGAAGAAAAGGCCAAAAAACCAGTGAACCCGCCTCACCCAAGTGTTCGAATAAATTGTGTGACAGCCGTTTGGGGGGCGAGGTGTGTAGTTTCCCCGAGAAATGGAGTTGCAAAGAGCCCCTAAATACCCCAAATGACGAGAGAGTGCGACTAAAGGGCCCCAATCCCGCTTGGCGACCGGTTTCCCCCAAATTCCCCAAAAATTCAAGTGCATCGAAATGGCAGAGACAGAGGAGCCCGAGCAGGACTCCCGCCGTGCCCTTTACGTCGTGCAATCGATGATTGACATTTCAGCAGACCGCCTCGAGGGTCTGCGAACAAAATGTTCGACCAGTGCGGAACTAACTCAGCAAGAAATCCGGACCCTCGAGGGAAAACTGATAAAATTATACTCAGAACAGCTGGTGGAGAAGTCGAAGCTGCCAGTGGACTCCCTGCCCCCCGAGATGCGCCAGTACCCGTCCCTCCACCAGTGGCTGCGAGTGGTGGGTCTAACCCCCGAGTCAATCAGAAACGTCTGCACAAAGGCCCAGACCCTGGAGGCCCTCAAGGAGAAATCAGAGCACGAACTGGGCACAATGCTGGGTGAAAACACAACGAGACACGAGGAGGAGCTCCGAAGATTGTGCCGAGCGCTCCACAATTTACGTCGCTACATCGACGTGTTGCTGCAGCGAGGTGGAGACGAGAGTGGCGAGATGCTGAACCTCTACTGGGACTCCTGGGACAGGCACCACCTGCGAGGAGGCACCTCCCCCAGGCCAGTGCGATCACGCGCCACCAGACGCTCGATCCCCTCTGACGACAGTATTCCCTACAACAACAACAACAACAACAACGACAACAACAATTTCCCGGAAACCCTAGCTCAGGCGTCATCGATAATCAGCCTGACGACGAGCCCCCCATCGACCCCAGTGCTGCTGCGCCAGGCTGTTAAATTCCCAACAACTCCACCCCCGAGCAAACGCCACAACGCAGTCCTCTCGCCGCTGCCGGACGTCTTCCCCCTGACAAAATCCAAGTCCCACGAGTCCCAACTGGCCAGCAGAATCGAGAATGGCGATGGTAATGGGGGGAACAACACGCCAGGGACGAATGACTCAACCAGGCGACATAGACTGCCAACTGAGACGGGCTCCTGCAGCAATGCTGACATAACAGCTTGCCAGTTGGACGGCAATTCAATGGTGACGAGCAGCCCCGTCAAGTCCCCGCCGTACTCGAGTGCTGAGAGTGACGACAACAGCTCAAAGGGCCCAGCAGCCAATCTCCAGGTGCCCAAGTCCCCGAGGACTCCAACGGTGACCCGTGGCATGGGCCACATAATAGCCCATCGTTTCACCAAGACATTCAAGATGATGACGACCTGCGACTACTGTGATAAGCAAATGTTCATTGGCACGGGACTGAAGTGCAAGGAGTGCAAGTACAAATGCCACAGAGATTGCGAGTCTAAGGTGCCACCCTCGTGTGGCCTGCCACAAGAGCTCTTTAATGAGTTCAAGAGGACTCTCCAGGCCGATGGGATGGTCAACGCCTCGCCGGTGCTCGGGAAGCCCAGCATCACCTCGCCGAATCATCACAGCTCCAATCTCCGCAGCTCCTTGGACAGGAGGTACCGGAAACACTCGCATCCGCATTCGTCTATGAATATTCCGTTTCAGGGGGCTGATTCGAGCTCCAACACCTCGAGCTGCAACAGCTCGACACCCTCCAGCCCAGCTCTGCTGCCTGGGAGCAATCAGACGCAGGTTTTGGCGACCACGACGACGACGATGACGACGACGAAACAGCAGTTTCATTTTCCTGATGTGACGCTTAATGACAAGAGTGTTCTCTCGATGGATCACCACAGCCACAGGTTGGAGAGCACCAGCATCTCCACGGACAGCGACAGGACGGTGTCGGTGTCGGGGTCTGGGTCGGTGAGCACTGACTCGGAGAGGACGCCGGTCAGGGTTGACTCGCAGGACTCGCAGGTGTCCGATGGCGAGCCTGGTGACAGCCGCTGGCCCAGGCAGAACAGCCTCTCCATGAGGGAGTGGGAGATTCCTTATGATGAATTGCAAATTGGGGATCCCATTGGCACCGGACGATTTGGGACGGTTTACAGGGGCAATTGGCATGGGGATGTGGCCATCAAAGTACTCAATATGGATTATTATTCGGATGATGATAAGACACTGGAGGCTTTCAAGCTGGAAGTCGCCACTTTTAGGAAAACTCGACACGAAAATCTGGTGCTGTTCATGGGGGCCTGCATGAAACAGCCGCATCTGGCCATTGTCACGAGCTTGAGCAAAGGAATGACGCTTTATACGCATATTCATTTGCGGAAGGACAAGTTCAATATGAACAAGACGACTATCATTGCTCAGCAAATTTCACAGGTGGGGTTTCGTCTTGGGAATTTTTTTTCGAAGTATTTGGGGTTGTGAATGGAAGCATTGTAATCGTGCAAATTTAAGTTTTGGATTTTTTGTGTTATATTGACCCATTATGATCCCAAAAGTCCAATGCAAACTTTTTCTTCAATTTCTCGCTAATGAATAGATGGAATTGAATCTTTTTTTTTTAATTCATTGATTCATTCTTTTAATTTTCGAATTTTTTCAAAATTCAGTTGTAACACGATAAGTAAAAAAAATGTTCTAGATTCAGTGAATGACGGCTTAAAAAATTCGTTGGAATGTCCTTTTGACCGAGTTCGAAGATGAAAGCGATAGCAATAATCGTTATTTTGATTTCTGATTTTTTAGGATAATTTTTAGAAATTTCGAATTTTTCATCAATTCCCCGGAAAGTTAGATTTCTGATGGTTCCTTTAAATGTGATGTTTTGAATGCATTCAATTATGTATAAATGAAATATTCCTAATAACATTTCATAGAAATTTTCAGAAATTTTTAGAATTTCATCAAGTTGAAAATCTAAAACAATTAGTTGGAAAGAAATTGATTCAATTCAAGAAAATAAAATAGGCTATGAATAATATACAATGGAAAAAAATAAGCGAAATGACCATTCGGAAGCATATTGCTAATTTATTATCAAAAATAATTGTATTTATTCATGATTTTGTAACATTTCAGGGAATGGGATATCTTCACGCTCGTGGCATCATCCACAAGGATCTCAAAAGCAAAAATATATTCCTCGAGAATGGAAAAGTTGTCATCACTGACTTTGGACTGTTTAGTGTAACGAAACTCTGTTATGGAAATAGGTAAATTTATTCTCATAGAAGAACGCACTTCATTAATTTGACACTTATCATCCATTACTTTAAATAGAAAAAGCAATGGCTTGAGCATACCACCTGGTTGGCTGTGTTATTTGGCCCCAGAAATTGTCGCTCGATTGCGGCCGCAGCAGACGAGAGATCAGGAGGAGCTGCCATTCACTGAAGCATCCGATGTTTACGCATTTGGGTAAGAACAATAAAATAAATAAATGAGGGATTCTGCGTCCAGGGCTAATGACAGGGCATAGATTGGACTTGAGTGGCCCACTCTACAAAAAATCCTTCAAATCTATAATTAAGTTTCAGCGTTCTTACTAATGATTATTTATATTTTTAAAATTCATCAGAACCGTGTGGTACGAGTTGCTGTGTGGTGAATGGCCTTTCAAAGGACAACCCCCTGAGGCAATAATCTGGCAAGTTGGCAAGGGCATGAAGCAAACTTTGGCCAATCTTCAAGCCTCTCGCGAAGTCAAAGTAATCATCAACAGCATTCAATACTCGTCACTACTATTTTCCTTGAATGGCACGGTTAACATGTAATTTCCATCATTTCAGGACATTCTCATGCTGTGCTGGTCCTATCATTCCACCAGTCGACCCGATTTCTCAAAATTATTATCAACATTGGAGAAATTGCCTCGCAAAAGACTCGCTCGCAGTCCATCGCATCCAATTCACCTGTCACGATCAGCAGAATCTGTCTTCTAAATGCCATCGATCGGTCGAGTTGACAGCGTTTCCACTGACACTAAATCCTAATCATTAATGTGAAATTGTAGATATTGGTGATAAGTTGCATTCAAAATTTCATTACCTATAAGTATTTATATCTGTACTTTTGTTCTCTTCACATATATGTAGGTGAATCTGTCTGTTGCATTATACTGACGTCCTCAGAGGGAATGCAAAAAACTGAAAAATTCGTAATTCTCACCCATAATAAGATTAACTCAGCGGCGAAGCGGTAAACCGGGTCACGTCGATTTTGACTTGCCCAGTTTTTTACGAATATCTCGGAATCTAAGAGAGATACGTACATTTTTGTCAGGACCTTTTTTGTAGCTCTCAATTGGCTCTGCAAAAAAGGTCATGAGAAAAATTTTGCTATCTCTCTTAGATTCCGAGATATTCATCAAAAATTGACTCAAAGTCAAAATCGACTTGACCCGATTTACCGCTTCACTACTGCATTGGTGATTTTATTTGTACAAAGAAAGACACAACACAATCTAAGAAAAATTGAAAAAAGTATTCACCTCGAGTATTAAAGTTACATTTTTCTAAAAATAATATTAATAATTCAAGGTTTCGATTTTAAATTGAAAAATACTAGTCAATTTTGTTTTTTTTAATGTAAATCTATGTACGATGAATGAATTTTGATTGTTGAAACGTGGAATGGAGAGCATTGAAAATTTTTCTCAATTATTACTGTAAAAAAAAGATCTCATTGAACTTAACTAAATAAGCGATGTAAACGATACACTGTAAGTATAAAAATGGATTGTAAATTTTGGAAAAGAAAATACTTCACTTATCAAGTGGAAGCTGGTGGAGCTAAACAACAATAGACGTTGATTTTGCAAATATCAAAAAGACGTTTGGAGTTGAAGTGACGGAGCAAATTGAAAAAGCAGCAAAGAGATAAATCAAATAAAAGATAATGTACAATTGTTGTTTATCGATGTACCACTCTCAAAGCATTATTCGGATTTTCTTGTATTGGTGTTAATAAAGAGGCAGACGGAGGGAGCTTGGGCTCGATGGGAATGGTCGAATAAATAGTTGCGATAAAACGAGTACGAAAAGTTCAGTGAATTATTTATTTAACGAAAAGAACAGGAGGAATACGTTTATTGTTTAATGGATTTGGATTTTTTTCAGTGTCTCGAGCTCTTTTCGAAGCTGCGTGGCACGAATTTGGTTCATCCCGATTCTCGACTCCAGCGAGAGTATCAGGGGTCGAGTGATGATGTCCGTGATGTGAGCAAACTGACGGGTTTTCACAGCATCGTTGTAGATTGTTGCAAGAACATCAGTGTTATTCTCACACGAGTCCGCAGCATTCTCCTCCTCTTGATCGAGGATCCTTGGCAGTTGAATCATTGTCTGGAAGAAATTACACGTATGAGAAAATTGAATAGAAAATTTAGCGAATTCGCTAGAAATTTCTAGTGGAATTCTACTGAAAAATTCTATTTGTTCTCTGCGACATATTGACATTTGGAAAAGATATTTGGAAAGCCAATGGAATCACTGCATTTATAATATTTTTTTCCATGAACAAACGTTAGAGATGAAAATTTGACATCCAACCGATTCAATCATTAAATCATCTCGTTTATCGACAAAATTGCCCCCAAAATTTTCGAAATTTTTACTGAAAATACTTCAATGATCCTTCTATCGAATGGCTGAAGTTAAATTTCGATTTGTTGAATAATTTGTTTGTTATAAATAAATTTAGCATGTTCGAAGATCCCGGCAATCAATTGGCAAACATTGAAATTGGTGTCAAAAATGAGGAAATTCTCTAGGAGTTTATTTCAAAGTTCAATACAGCCAAGGCATTTTATTTCATTTTTTTTCGTTCGACTGTTTTCAAGTTATCGTTCATTGAATAACGAAATTGACGCGCGGTAAGTCTCCCGGCCGTTGGGACAATCCGCGTTATATGAGCGCAAAAAAACAAATAGAATTTGTCAAGAGAATTCCTACAGAATTCCAATAGAATTTTCTAGCGAATTCGCTAGGTTTTCTATTGAATTTTCTCATGCGTGTACTGATAATTCACTTTAGACAATAAAAGTAATGAAAGTATCTCACTCACCTTGAGGCATCGATCAGATATTTCATTGGTGTAAACAATCTGCAGAGGAATTTCAACAGCCTCATTATTACGAGACTGAAAACAAGCCAAGAAGACTTCTTGCTCCTACGAGAGAGAATCGTTGTCAATGGTCCAACCACTTCATCGTAAATAATAAATAATAAATAATAAAAATAAAAAAACAATCGCAATGGATGATTTTTACTTGCCTTCGTGTCTTTCACCTCTGAGAAGACTGAAAAAATGAGGCCAACGAAGCTCGAGTCCATCATTTGATAGGTGGCCTGTGTTCCCACGTCTTTGAACAAATCAATTATTACCCATTTCTTTTCTCATTGAACTTGTGAATGAATTACTCAACCTACCCACGTGTGAAGGGCAAACTGTAATGTGTGGGTGACTGTGGTACCAACCGATGACTCTGATAGGACGTCTCAACTCGTTGGCGAGTCTCTCAGCTTCAGCAGTAGCTTTCAGCAGTTGCTCCGGTGAAATTTCAACTCTGTCCTTCTTCTTGTCCAGTCGGCGGAGAATTATCAAAGCTGAAATCTGGGCAATGTCTTTGTTCATCTGGAAACAGGATTACAAGTTACATTTAATGCAAAACGATAAACTTTTCATTCGTTTGAGGGGTAACAGAAGGCCATCTTTTCTCGAAATTTTTAAACAAATTTCCTGCTGAAATTATTAGGGGAGGTTCGGGTAAAACCGACACTTTTGACTGTTTTTTAAATGTTAATGAGGGGTTGAAATGTTGATAAAATTTAATTATTTTTGTTTCATTACGCAGAACAATTCTTTCCCTTTGTGACGAGCCTAAATTGCGCTCAACTGATAAATTTGCTTCTGAGTTATGAATAATTTTAAAAAAGTCTAGTGTCCATTTTACCCCACCCTCCCCTAATATTTTTTTTTCTTCTCATCAAGAAAATCTAACGAAAAAACTTGGAAAATTTGGGTCGAGGACATTCTATGGAAAATATCTCAATCGAATAAGTTATATAGAAAAATTGAATTCTATTGACTTTTTATACTGAATATTTTCTATTGAACATTTGAATAGAACCGGCCAAAAACTAATAGAACAGTTCAACAGAAACTCAATAGAATTTTCTAACGAATTCGATAGTTTTTCTATTAAATTTTTTCGTTCGTGTGCGCTTTGATTTTTAAAAATATCGATAAAATAGCGATAACTTTCAGCAGTAAATTTGTGAAAAAATTGGGAAATTGAGAGCATTCTGTTACCCCTTAATGGGAGATGTATAGAATGTATTCACGGTGCCAATGAGCAATCCCATGACTTCGTAATTTTCGGTGGACAATGCGTGCTGCAGGCAAGTCATGTAAACGTCTGCTTGCAGCTCGACCTTCTTCAGAGGACTGTCCATCTTCATATATTGTGATGCTGAAAAAAGAATGAAGAGGAGTCAGATCTCAAGTTGTTCTTTGGGGTCAAAAAAAATTCTGCAAATGAAATATTGCAGACATTTCAAAAAGAGAGATTTTTGTTTCCCTCGTTTTTGAAAGATGTAAAGAGTGAATGTGTACCTTTCATCAGATCAACAACAACAACAAAATTGAAAACGATATTTTAGGTTTGGTTATAAATTTTTTGAATGCTGATTGGCCTGGACTTTAATGAAGATTGTAGTTGCAATTGGCAAACAGTGGAGGCTCTGTCCAGAGAATTTTCACATCGTAGTTAAATTTGTGAGGAAAACCTAAGGCTTGTAGACGTTTTGCTTTGAATATGGTGTGCTGGTGATGTTTGTTGGGGTTGGATGAGTCCAAGTTAGGGATGCGTTTCTCGATTAATCGAAGACATCGATTTTCGATTCTTTTTCCCAAACATCGATGTTTTTGAACACGAGCTAAAAAAATTTTTCATTTTTTTGTCGAGTAAAATAATGTTGGTTGGCAATCAGAAGTAATAAAATCAGAAGTAATTATTTTTTAGAGTGTTTTTTTAATTCAAATTTTAAATTTTTAACAATTATTGCAGCTAACGGAAAATATTCAATATATTTTCTTCAATTAATCAAAAACCCTGTTTTGAGATTCAAAATTTAACTCTCCAGCAGTAGTTATCATTGGAATGTAAGTTCCTCGTGTTTTTAAAATTTATATATTCAAATAAAAACGAAAAAAAAAAATTATTTTTAAAAATGTTAAAAAATTTTTTTTCCACGTCACGAAAAAAACATCGATACGATTTTTTGACTCATCGATGTTTTTAAACAAACCGATTCTTCAATACTCGATATTTTTTAAAACATCGCCCATCCCTAGTCCAAGTGTGGACCATCGAGTGTAGCGCCACAGTCGTCTCGATTTCCCATTCGATTCGATATTACGTGGGTTATGCACCTCCGTTCATTGACTCTGACGATCAGCTGTGTTGACGTTGAGTTGATAAACGAAAGAGGGAGAACAGTGTCATAGCACCGCAAGAATATCTCTCCTTTTACAACAATAAAAAATATCCACCCAAAGGAATCCTAATAAATTAATTTGAAGTTTACAAAATGTGAAACTAAAGTGAAATGACCATGGATAGTAGCAGGTCTCGTTGAGCGAGAGAGATAGGAATCGTCAATTGCCATGTGAGAATACTATTCACATCGTCTTTAATCTCCACCACTAAACCTTAAATACATTGAACTTGTTTTCATTCATTAATATGGAATTGCATTTTTATAAGGTAGGTTTTACATGATGATGAGGATTAACTTTAAGACGATCCTGATTGTATTGATTGCCGCTGTTGTAAGCTCAATATTGACATCATGGAATGGCTGTGGGACCGGATATTTTTTGAGAAATGGCCATTTTCAGCACAGGGTAGATATTATTTATTATATTATAATTCAATTATTATTATTTCAATCCAATTCAATATAATTTTTAATAATTTTATTATATTTTTTTCTCATTTACGAGTAAAAAATAATGATAAAAATAATGATAATAATAATAATAATAATAATAATAATAATAATAGCCTCCTCTAATAATCACAATTTTATTGAATGTCATTTTCGACAGGAACAATTTGTGCTGGCATTCAATTGAATGGCCAATTTTAATGAACTAATCTGCATTAATACTATAAAATGATGTGAAAAAATTGTATGTTAAGAAGGATCGTCTCGCCAATGTCGAACCAGACTATCAGGAAATCGATTGCAATATAAACGGTGGATACTTAATAAGTTGTCGACGGGAGGGAGATGAAGTCTACATTCCCTTCTCCTTCATTCAAAAGTACTTTGAGGTAAAGGTAAATCAGTAGTGAAGTGGTGAAACGGTTTGAGTGGATTTTGACTAGTCAGGTTTTAATGAATATCTCGGAATCTAATCCGAGATATTCACTAAGAACTGACGAATATTCTCCTTGAATGACTCCGTTATTCAATGAACGAAAATTGAAAACAGTCGAAGGAAAAAAATTGAAATAAAATGCATTGGCTGTATTGAACTTTGAAATAAACTCCTGGAGAATTTCCCAATTTTTGACACCAATTTGCCGAGATCTTCGAACATGCCAAATTTATTTATAACAAACAAATTATTCGACAAATCGAAATTTAACTTCTGCCATTGGATAGAAGGATCAGTGAAGTATTTTCAGTGAAAATTTCAAAATTTTTGGGGGAAATTTTGTCGGCAAACGAGATGATTTAATATGATTGAATCGGTTGGATGTCAAATTTTCATCTACAACTTTTGTTCATGAAAAAAAATATTGTGAATGCATTGAAAAAAAAAAAAAAAAATAGTTCACTGCAGAGACGATTCCATTGACTTTCCAAATCTCTTTTCCAAATGTCATTATGTCTCTTAGAATTCGAGAAAATGCCGATAGGACAAGTTTATGGGTCGATGCAGGGGTTAAATTTGGAGATATCCCTCGAAAACTCAGCCAAGTCGGCTCAAATCGTCGCACCCCTTCGCCACTGCAATCAACGTCACCAGCAGCAACTAAAAAGCTTTAATAACAACAACGATTCTTTCGTCTTCAGGTTTACGGTAAATTGGTAACTTTCGACGGTCTCGAGAGATTCGAGTGGCTCCACAGTTACTCGAAAATCGTCAGCCCCAAGGGAAAATACGACCCTCGCGGTGTCTTCATGACATTCGAGAATTACAACGTCGAAGTGCGCGACAGAGTGAAATGCGTTACTGGTCTGGACGGTGTGCCAATGTCAACGCAGTGGGAGAGCCAGGGCTACTACTACCCAACGCAAATAGCGCAGTTTGGTCTGTCCCACTACAGTAAAAATCTGACCGAGCCAGAGCCCCACCGTAAAATCATTGAAGACGCCGAGAAAACAAAACCAGATTGGACTGTTCCCCAGGGATCGGTATTGTCACGTCCCTACGATACTCAAACCAACAGTTACATATTGAAATACGCCACCCCTGACACGACAACCTCCAGCGGCATTTCCCTGCATTTAGATCACGTCCTTTCATTCGTATTGAAATTAGACCTGAGCATAAAGGACAACGCCAGCATTACGGTCGTCATGCAGCAACGCGACAAAAAGGATTCCTACTATCTCCACTACACAACAACCAGTGTCGTCCTCGAGTCCCTCAACAATCACATTTACTACGGAATTGGCAGCACAAATAACCAGTGGAGGAGACTCACCAGGGACTTGGCAGTCGATTTGCAGAAGGGTCTGAACTTCAGTGACAAAGGAAAATTCAAAAAGCTGTCGAGGTCAAAATTAAAGCTCACGAAGATCATTCTAAATGGCTCTGGGAAGATCGACAATGTGTCGTTGTCGACGAGTGAGCATATGGAGCAGTTTTACGATTCCGCAAAGTGGTTCGTCAATAATCAGAATGTCACGTCCGGGGGCTGGGCCAATCCAGTGAGGAGAAAAGTTGCCAGTGGTATGGCGATACTGGAGCCCGGCTGGTACTCGGCGATGGGCCAGGGCCACGGAATTTCGGTTCTGTCGAGAGCTTATTATCACTCGCAGGATGAGAAGTATCTCCAGGCCGCTGTCAGGGCCCTCAAACCCTTCAGGGTCCCTGCCAGCAAAGGGGGGGTGGCAGCTATGTTTTTCGATAAGTTTCTCTGGTACGAGGAATATCCCACTAGTCCCTCTTCGTTCATTCTCAATGGCTTTATTTATTCCCTCATTGGGCTGTACGATTTGAAGTCAATTGCCTCGGGGAGAGGGGCTGAGGAGGCTGCGGAATTATTCGATAAGGGAATGCTCTCTCTTAAGAATATGTTGACACTCTATGACACGGGCTATGGCACCACTTATGATCTACGACATTTCACTTTGAAAACAGCACCCAATCTGGCCAGGTGGGACTACCACTCGACTCACATCAATCAGCTACTTCTACTCAGTACTATTGATAATGATCAGTTGTTTGGAGTGACTGCGGAGAGGTGGATTGGGTATATGAATGGCAAAAGGGCTGCTCATAATTGATTTAGCGGGAACAGTCGTGTCGAAGTTCTCATGTTTTATTTCCCCGGTGATGAAAGAACATTTAGTTATGAGGTAGCTCCCCCTCAAGCCCTGCGGACGGTAACTTCAAGGGAAAATGAGATTTTCATTGATGAGAGGAGTGTTTTTGGATGGCGCAGACGTCATGTGCTACTAATTTTTCGTTAGTTCTCGGGGGAAATAGTTTCACGTGTGACAAAATTCAAGAGAAAACCTTGAGGAATTCTGTTGAAATTCTGTGGGGATTCTATTGAAATTTTAGGGAATTTTCGTGAAAATTTGATTTGTTTTTGCGCAGATTCTATCAGATATTTGATTGGAAAAAAATAGTTATTAATTTTCCCTTACTTCGAGGGGAAAACAGTTTCATTTGTAAAAAAAATTCAGTTGAAAACCTTAACGAATTCTCTAGAAATTCTATTGAAATTTTAGGGAATTTTCGTGAAGATTTTATTGTTTTTTTGCACAGATCCAACTAGATATTTGATGGGAAAAAGTCAATAGATTTTCTGTCTGAATTCTTCTCTTGAGATTCCCCAGAATTTTCCTTGGAATGCCAACAGAATTTCTAGAGAATAAGGTCTTCTACACAATTTTTTCGTATGTGTTATCCTATTTTATGCAGCAACACTGGCATTTGTAGATAATAGAATTAATTAATGGATTACTTCAAACTGAAGGAAAATTCATACTAATGTACAGGGTAGAAGCGTAGCTCGTACCAGTGTCTTCAAATCCATCTCCACCTGAAGAGTTTTTATTTAAAATATTTAATGGAGAGAATTGTTTTAATGCATTTGCAGTCGAGTTATGCACTCGAGTTGAATATTCAATTTGTTTTTGTACAAAAAACAAGCACATTCGTTATTTACTTAGAGAGAGAGAGAGAGAGAGAGAGAGAGAGAGAGAGAGAG